TGTTGCGAATCCTTGATCCGAAACGTCAAGTCTGGCACATCTCCAAGCCAAGCACAAAAGTACAAGACGAAGACCCAAGCCCTGCACTTCCAACAGCCTGAAGAGCCTACTACACAGACCCTGAACCCTAAACACGAAACCATAAACACTAACCCCTAAACCTTTATCAAGCCCTAAGCCTTAAACCTTAAGCCCCAAACCCTAAACCCGAAACACCAACTCTACCCTCTGGCCTATCAAGCTGTCCGCACAAAACCCAGGAACTACTACCTCGGGGATAAGGCAGATCTGATGGATCCGGTGTCCTCCGCCGGCCATGGGTTTCAGTGTATGACTTTTTCGGTTTTAGGGTTTAGGGTTTAGGGTTTTGGGTTTTGGGTTTCAGTGTATGATTTCAGGTTCATGTCGTTGAGGGCTGAGGGCTGGACGGCCAGTGATGGTTGAACTTTGGGTTTTTGTATGGGTTTAGGGGAGTTTAGAGGCGTCATTAAGGACCTGGGGTTCAGAGGTCCCGAAGGGAGGGAGGAAGATCTGGTCTGAGAGTAGGCTTGCGCACCGTGGGAAAGCGGTGCAGGCAGACTGGCGTAGTCTTCCGCAATTCAGGCGATTGGCACGCACAAACCCGTCCTCATCCTTGATGTTCGCCCTAAACCCTGTACCCTAAACGCAAAACCCTAAACCCTAACCCCTAAACCCTAAACCCTAAACCCTAAACCCCAGATTCATCGTTTCGGCTGCAAGGTGTGCTTTCTACGGGTGCTCCCCACATCGCTACATCCAAGATTTCACCTTCCACTGGGCCGCTAGCACCGAGCATTTGAAACATATCAGGGGTTTAGGGTAAGGGTTTTAGGGTTTAGGGTTTTGGGTTTAGGGTTTAGGGTTTAGGGTTTAGGGTGTAGCCCAATTCCCTAAAACCCGGAACTATGCCAGACGTAATCCCACTTTAAACCCTCAATTGCATAGGCCTGAACTCCTATAATCCCAAAACCCTGAACTACAAGCTAGCATATGGCCCCGAAGCCCTGCAAGCAGTCCATTGAACTTGCTGAATTCGAATAAAACTCCCTAGACAGCACCAGGGAATGGAGGGGGGAGGGTTAAACCCTAAACACCGAAAAGCCTAAACCCTAAAAACCTAAACCCTTAAGGGGTCGCCGATTCCCGATTTCCCTGGAGTCAGAAGGTAAGCTGAAGCCTTGAACAGTCGGACTGGCACCCTGAAGGTGTTTGTGCCACGAGCCCTCACAAATCCTTAGCGCCAAGCCCTCAACCACTTTCAGGGTTTAGGATTTAGGGTTTAGGGTTGAGGGTTGAGGGTTTAGGGTTAGGGTTTGGGGCAGCTTCGTGGTTTAGGATCACTGCGTCACGCTCCAAGTATCAAAGATGCGAGGACAGCCCCAATAGCTGTAGCTTGACAAGTTCAACTAGCCCCAAGAAGCCTGAGCCCCAAGAGACCTATAAGCTGCGGTTTAGGTTTAGGGTTTGAATTTAGGGTTTGGGGTTTAGAGTTTATGGATTCCTGCAAGCGACCCACGAGCCCTGAACACCCGTAGTCACCAGCGCGCTGCAAAACCGGTCATCCCAGACCTGGGCCCTAAAACGACCAGAAGAGTACTTGCGCTCGGCGTGGCGATCGCTGTAACAATAGTGTCTTAGAGAGCCTTCTGGCCTCCCAAATACAGGGTTTTGTGGATAAAACTGTTCGGGGTACTGTACTTTTTGGGGGACTCAGGTCGACCCTCAAATCGTCTGATACCCCTAAACCCTAAACCCTAAACCCCTAAACCCTAAACCCCTAAACCCTAAACCCTAAACCCTAAACCCCTAAACCCTAAACCCTAAACCTTATCGCCGAAGTTCAAGAGCTCCTAAGGATCCTGGAGCCGTGGGCGTCCCTGCATCCGAGCCGAAGGTCTTAGCTGAAGGCTGGTCTCGGCCTGGGAGGGTGCTGGGTGTGAGGTTTACAGGGTTTAGGGTTTAGGGTCTAGGGTTTAGGGTTTAGGGTTTAGGCGAAAGGTTTTAGGCTGGAGGGGGTAGGGCATTCATTTCCATTCTTAGGTTCCAGAGGAGCTTACTTAAGTTAGAAAGCAGTTTAGGGATAAGGGTTGAGGGTTCCGAAATTCGCGGTACCTTATTGGGGTCCTTATTTTATAGCGAATTTATCCTTGGGGGGGTCTATACTAGGGGTTTTCTATTTTTGTAAACTCCCCATGTCAGAACGTTTTATAGATGGACCTAAAGATTTTCTAGATGGGATTGCAACTGGGGGATTCCGAAGACAGCGGGGCAGGAAGGTGCAGCGCGCAACATACATTGCATAGTGGTTCGAGGGCATAGGGTTTAGGGTTAGGGGGATACGGTCCCTTTTGGCCTCCTTCATGGGCGGAAGTAAGATTTAAAAGGATTTGGAATTAAACTAGCAACTAAACCCAGAGCCTAAACAAATCAGGCCCAAAGAACTAGCTTGAGAGGTGGGCCGACGACGCATTCTTCGACCGGCAAAACCAGCCAGACAACATTGAGGCCAGCAAAGGGCGGCCGTGCGTTCTTGGGCTTTGGGTTTGGAGTTTTTGTGTAGCAGACATTTGAATTCCCAGCAAAAAGGGGTTTTGGGGCTGACAGGCTGTAGGCTGCAAGGCTTTGTATTGCGCTGGTTCTGTGACCATTCCTGGAAACCTTTCGGCGATTCAAGAGCCAGTAGCCCTAAACCCTAAACCCTATACCCTATACCCTATAAACCCTAAACCCTTGGTCAAGTTATCTAGCAGGCTCGCTGAAATCTCATATCCACGGGAAACTCGGGCTTTCATCAGTCCGAGAGTGGTGAGCCTGGAGCTCTCAAACTGGTTCAGCCCTCCAACAAAAGATCCCTTCTTAAACACAGTCTTTAAACACAGTAGGGGGAAACATAAGTTACACTCTAACACTTATTTCCCCGACTGCTATAGCCAGGGATACCGATCGGGTGCTGACGCTGTTGCACGAGACCCGGCGAAGCGTGGAGACTTTGCGGTCTGTCGCCGCTGGGTAGCGAGCAGTTGGAGGTTTGGGGTTTAATGTCAGCTCCCCCTTAAGGTTTAGGGTTAAGGGTTTAGGGGCCAGGGCCCCTCCCCCACCCCCCCCGCCTTCACACGCGCACACAACCCCGAAAATGCGGATTGTCGAATTCAGGCTATGGGCACCCTCAACCCTATCCCGAAACCCCAAACCCTGGGATTGCCGACGATGAAGCGTCAGAGGCTTGCATCCCGCGCAGCCCTCGAATACGAAGCTTCGACCCTCTTTCACAACCCAATTCCTGAAGAAGGGGGTTTCGAGTTTAGGGTACCCTAAACCCTAAACCCTAAACCCCTGATCGAAAGGGTTTCAGAGTTATGGAAGTTGAGGTCGCCTGACTAGCCTTTGGAAACAGCCCTGAAACATGGCCCGTAGAAATCTAGCCCTAAACCCTAGCTCTGAACCCTAAACCCTAAACCCTAAACCACCCCAATGGGTACGCCACGAGGTGGACGAGGTTCGGACCCTGGCCCGTGAAGCGAAAGATGCGTCGGGGGCCCAACGTTTCTTATCGGTTCCTATTGTGTCTTGGGGTTTAGGGTTTAGGGTTTAGGGTTTAGGATTTAGGGTTTAGGGTTTAGGGTTTAGGGAGAAAAAGGGGTTGAGGGTTCAGGGTTCAGTAGGAATTATACTTTGTATCCCCCGATATTACCCTTTCAAGGGATTGATAAAGGGCAGCCGAATTCCCTCATGCCCTACTAAGAGCCAGTAGGTTTTGAAGAAGAACGGGAGTTCTCCTTGAAACTGGGTTAGGACACCCTGTTCGGGGTATACCCTCAGCTCCTTTATATAGGTTCCAGCACAAAAGCTGGTGGGGGTGTTGGGATTTAGGCGGCCTTGTTTCTGCTTTTCTGGTCCCCGGCACAGACCTCTGAGGTTTTTGGCCTTTGTCATATATATATATATATACATATATAGTATAATGTACATATGTATATATACATATATATATATATATCTATGTATATATACATATTGTATACACGCTGTCTATGTAGAATGTGTATACACACACACACATATATATATATATCTCTCTCTCTCTCTGTGTTGTGCCGGATTACAGTATCTAGGCGGTTCAGCGTCTCAGCCTCGCCCTGCACTCCCAAGGCGACACGCCGAAGAGGCCATCATGGGGGAAGTGGGTTCGGGAAGGGGGGCCCGAGCTCAAGGTTTGCTTTTCCAGGGTTTAGGGTTTAGGGTTTAGGGTTTAGGGTTTAGCAGCATCATCTTCGAATGAATAGCCATGTGGTCCCGAACTGCCGGCACATAGGGATGCGGAGGCTCTGGCAGCGCAGTCGAGGGACGCTTCCAAACATCGCTGCGACCGGCTATGAAGTTGCCTGTCGACACGGTCGGTGGTCGCATGGGGGGGGTTTACAAAAACAAAGGGCCCCGAATAGATAGATAGATATATATATATATGTATTTATTTATTTATGTATATGTATATGTATAAATAGCACCCCTAAATGCGGAAACCACCACATCAGGCTAAGGTTCTGCTAAAGACCAGCAGCTGCCGCGCAGTCCTTTCACAGCTCAGCCCCGAACCCTAAACTTGCCCTTCCCTTGGTTGCGAAAAGCCGAGCTTCTCACGCGCATCATGGGAGCTGTTCCGGCCGCGGGAATTTCTACTATGACCCCTTCTGGCATTCCGCTGAAGTCCCGTATACCTTCCACTCGTTCAGATACAGGCATCACCTCTTGCAGATTGACAAGGCGCAAGCGAGAGACGCGAACTTTCATGCTGCGATCTGTTCCAGCATTCCTCGTGAGTTCCGTGAAGCTATGAAGGAATGCGCAGGAAGTATCCTGACGATAGCCCCGCAGATACCACAGTACGTTGCTGGACACTCGAATGCCCATCCTTCTACGGCTAGTTGAAGGGAACTCTAACCGATGATGATGACAATCGTTGTCAACAATTGGCCAACTTCATGCGAGCTTTGAACATGCAGCTTGTGGGACAAAATTGGGAGGAAATGGCGACGTACCGTGGCAGTAAGATGTCGGCAGCAGACCTCAGAATGTTCAGAGAAGGCGAGGTGTACAGGCTCCCAACGTATGTGGCGACGTCAAAGGAGAAAAGGACAGCCCTGGCATTTGCAAAGCACTACCTACACGAGTTTCGCATCCCGAAGGGGTGCATGAATGTAGGCTACCTTGAGCCCAAGACTCAGATCAAAGGCGAGGAGGAAGTCCTTCTGCCACCTTACACCGCTGTGAGGATCCTTCACATTGCAGAGGATCAGGCCCCGGATCAGGGTGTGGCCATGGTATTCGAGGTAGTTTTGGACAAGCAGACAGTCGAGGAGTCTGTGGGCGCAATGGTTGCAGACATGGGCACCATGCCCTGTGCCGGGGTGGCTGGTTCTGGTTTGGCGGCGGCTGCTGGCGGGAAGGGATATCATGGGGTCTTCGGCATGCCCGGTGGCGCCATGGGCCTGATGGGCATCCATGCAGTCCATGCTGTCAAACACTTCTCGGCCTGTGGTGGATTGGTTGGAATCACCAAAGGGAGCCAGGCACTAGTCGAATCCCACACAACTAAGTGTAGCGACTAGCAGAGACCTTAGCTCAGAATCTCTCGAATTCGAAGTCTTCATACCGCGAAGCAGTTCCATGTTGCAGCGGCGAAGCCCAAGCATATCTGGAGCCTACGGGCTTCAGCTCGAGGGGTCTGCTCAGGACAGTGTCCCTGTGCGAGCCTTTGAAGTTCCAACTGAGCTCGCCCGAACATGTCGACATGGCCCCCAAACCCTAACCCGATAAACGCCCTAAGCTCTAGAACTTACATCCTAAGCACCATGAACTCTCCCAAGAGCTCAGGCTCCATAAGGCGCAAATGCGTCAAGCGGAAAAGTGTTAAAGAGTGATGGTGATGGAAGAGTGGTGGAAGAGTGGGTGGAAGAGGGTGGCAGCTTTTTTTGCCATACAGTTTGGACCTTAGTTTGAATGCCCCCCCCCCCCCCCCCGATGGCAGTCGGACATGCGGGGACCATGACGGTGCTTCACAACGCGGGAGCCAATTTAAGGAACTTTAAATTCCGTTACCACAACCACAAGCAGGTTATAGAGTAAATGTCAGGGTGCCCGTATTATGTCTCAAGCTCAAGTACATTGACAACAACTCAGCTAAATGCCCAGAAGAGCCCCAAACCTTGGAATCCGACCTACCCTGAAACTGAGGCCCTAAACCCTAAACCCCAAACCCTAAACCCTAAACCCTAAACCCTAAAAACCCTAAACCCTAAACCGCCCGGAGGCCGCGGCCCATCGCTTTGCAGCCCTCCTGGCCGGGACAGCGAGGCAGGTGGGCTGCAAAGCTTCTAGGGTACAGGGACCTGGAACCCTAAACCCTAGCCCTAAACCCTAAACCCCAAACTCCTGAGTAGCTGAATAGCCAACCTTTTACCTTTTTTGGGGGGTTTGTATAATCCTGCCAGAAATGACAGGTTAGCCTTTGTTGGCCCAGGGTACTCAGCAACTAGGACTCCCCCCAAGCGCCATCCTAAAACCCGGTTCTTACGTTCTAAACCCTACACCCGCAAGTGTTCAGAGGAACGACCCCGCCTCAAAATTCTGCCCCTAAACCCTAAACCCTAAACCCTAAACCCTAAAATTGGGAGTTGGGTTTCTCTTGACCGGGCATGTTCTCTAGTAAGTTGACAGTATGTATGGGCAACTGAAGTGGCGTTCACTTGGGGGTTCCTGCGCGACCACCGCCTCAAAATTCTGCCCCTAAACCCTAAACCCTAAACCCTAAACCCTAAACCCTAAACCATGTTGGGGGGCTCTAAGCTATGATCCGGGGTTCTTTGAGCTGCGGGGCCCTGCCTAGCGCCGGCTCTGGCATGAGTCACGGGATGCTAGGGGCCAGGAGCCCTCTCCTGGGGTGTTTTGTTGCCTTGATCATGATCAGTAAAAGTCAAGGGGATTCCTGAACATATTATGGGTTTAGTTTTAGGGTTTAGGGTTTCATTAGGGCATCAAAGAGTCCCAGCTGCAAAAAAAGGGTTTCATTAGTGGTCAGGTTCAGGTCTGGGGAAGTTTCGAGAATTTTCGGGGAGTTCCAGGAGTTTCCCCCCCTTCTTTGTTATCTCCTTATACTCATGTCAAGATACGCGCGTGGGTTTAGGGCTTAGGGTTTGGGATTTCTACACTCCCCAATCCCTAAACCCTAAACCCGCGGCCCTAAACCCTAAACCCTAAACCCTAAACCCTAAGCCCTAAACCCTAAACCCTAAACCCTAAACCCTAATCATCCCTGGAGCCTGTAGCGCGTCAACTCAGCAACTCCTGCAAAGACCCGGAAGCTTAGAGCCTTGATCCTGACATCCCCTAACATGTAGGGCTTCCTGCTAGTTTGCTTATGAACCTTCAAAAAAAGTTTGCTTATGAACCTTCGAAAAATCTCAACATATTCTTCCTTACAATGGCAATAGAGGGAGAATCTTCCTTTCTATTTCTTGAACAGTAGTTTAGGGTTAGGGCCTATAGGGACTAGGAGAACTCATGTTCCACTTGCCGGAGCTCATCCCTATGGGGGCTTCAAGAGCACCTTAAGGCACACACACCCACAAGCCGAACCCGAAGCCTGCACAAGCCCTAAACCCGAAGCCCTAAGCCCCAACTCATAGTCCGTACTGAGATGGGGACTGTGCCTCGCTGGCTTTGCCCGAGCGTGAGCGATAAAACACTAAACCCTGAACAATGAAGCCGAAACCCTGAACCCTAAACCCTAAAACTCTAAAACCCTAAACCCCAAAACCCTAAGCCCTAAACCGTAAACCCCTGAACCCCTAAACCCTGGACCCCAAACGTGAACCCCTTAGTTCTCAAAAGCTCAGGCTTCCGCTCACGGAAAACTGGTTCAGCATAGGCGAGATGGGAGAGTTCATTTGCAGGTGGCGCTTCTCGGGGTTTAGGGTTTAGGGTTCCTATAGCAAGGACTGTAGCATTCTCACACCTATGCTTTGTGTTGTAGGCCATGGTCAGTTCGGATTGGTGGATATTCCCCGGTTGGCGCGTGAAGCCTTTCAGCAATGCTTCTTGGCGTTTAAGCCCTAAACCCCCCCCCCCCCCCCTGCTGCGTGTCTTTGGTCAGCTAAATCCTAAACCCACCCGAAACGCTGGCAAGGCCAAGCTCTCTCGCGAACTTACAAAACCTGCACAAGTTGGGGATGTTCCCCCTTATGCGAACGATCCTGAATTCCCATTTGGGTATAGGGTTTAGGGATTGGGGTTTTTGTGCCCCTGCTATTACAATCACTATCAAGGACTGTTAGTATAAGGGGGAACATCCCAGGGTTTAGGGTTGGTGTTTTGTAGGGGGTTTCATCCTCTTAAGGACTGTTAGTGGTGTAAGGTGGAACATCCCATTTCGCAAGCTTCACCGCAAACCCTCTGAGCCCCAACTTGTGTGCTGACTAGGTGACCTTCAAGCCTTAGTATTCCCGTTATCCCCGGAATCCCTATCAACCTCATCAAGCCTGTAAACCCTAAAACCCCTGCAAGAAATCAGACATCCAAGAAACACCATAAAACCTATCTGCAAACCCCATGCAAGGCCAAAGGTTAACTTCTCCCCCCAAAAACACCCGAAACCCTAAACCCTAAACCCTAAACCCCAAACCCTAAACCCTAAACCCTAAACCCCTCCCCCTTGAGAAAGACTCAGGAGATCCAAGAAGGCTGCCTTCCGGGTTTAGGATTCAGGCTTTTGTGTCTTTGGATGCCTTCAACAAGCCCCGAAACCCCCCCCCCCAAAAAAAAAATGAACAAACAAAAACTACTAGAATACAAAACTAAAATCCAAGAAAGCCCTGAATCCTGCAAAACCCTAAAACCCAATAACCCAATATAACCTCACACCCTCAAAGCCCTAAAATCCTGAAGCTGAAGCCCTGAAACCCGAAAACCCTCAAACCCGAAAACCCTAAAACCCAAAGCCCAGAGCTCGGTGAATAGGCTTCGTAGTCGGCGTTGTGTCGGCCATCGCTGTTGCGGCTGCCTTGCGGCAGAGGCAGGGGAGGCCCCCCTAAACCCTAAACCCTAAACCCCAAGCCCGAAAATGGTCGCTTGGTTAGGGGGGGAGGGGGGGGTTTTGGGGTTGGGCGGTTCGGCCTGCTGAGCAACATGGTCCATGGTCCTTTGTCTTGGCACGAAGCAGCCTCCAGGCTCAAAAGGGTTAGGGACTTAGGGTTTAGGGTTTATGGGGTAAAAAAGTCTTCCTAGGGTTTAGGGGGTCTAGGTTTACCTTGAGAGCGGTAGCGCCGGTTGCACACTTCCACAGCTACACTCTGAGACTCAGAAGTCATGCATGGCGAAGAAGTCGGGGTATCGAGTTTGCCGTGGTTCTTGGTGATGTGGGTTAGTTCATGAAGTAGGCCCCTTGTACTCCAATATGCTATGGGTACCCGCCTCTCCATCTCTCCTAACTTCTTACGAGTTTGAGCAGACCCTAAACCCTAAGCCCTAAACCCTAAATGCGCAGGCACTAGCGCCGACGAGATCTTGACGGTGTGTTCGACCCGCTCCCGACTGAGGAGCCTCGGGAATCTCAGACATGAGTGCTTCAAAAGAGTGGATATATGCGTTGCAGGCAAGTGTGCATGAATGTATTCATGTATGTATATATTTGATTAAAAAGTATATATATATATACATATACCCTTATAAGTAGCGAATTAGTGATTCTTGGTTTCATTCCGTTGCCTGTGCCGCCCTCAGAGTAGTGGTTGGCGGGCACCTGCGTTCAATCAGTGCTCTGTTTGCACCTGGTTTGCCTCTTTCTTGCACAAGTGGGTTAGCGATAGAGCTTGAAATTGGTCAGCGGATTCATATGTACCATGTTTGCGCGCTCTGTGCCGATTCTGTGCTATGCAGGAGCTGCGACAGGTACACAAATGTATGTATGTATGTATGTATGTATGTATGTATGTATGTATGTATGTATGTATGAATGTTCGAGGTATGAATGCACTTTCTTTTTTTAACCATTCTGGATCAAAGGTTCGCTCGCAAATTGCAATGAAGTCGAGTGTGCCGTAGTAATGCATACTGACAGCTCGCCGCAATTGCAGTACTTTTACCTTGACCAGTGGAGCTACGAGGTGAGACCACTGGTATTTTTTGGGTTTAGGAGGATCTTCGTCAGAATTATGTCTTTAGAGAATTCAGAGGCTTCTTAAAGGGCCAGCCTAGTGAGGGCTCGTGGGCTGTATGCTCCTCATGCGAGCGGTCGCGGGGGAGGCAGTAAGTCCGCGAGGTGATGGAATCAGTTTGGAGGTGAGTTGGGGGTTTTAGGGTTTAGGGTTTAGGGTTTAGGCGGTTGCTAGCTATAGCAAGTATTGTTGGATTCATGTGGTGTGAAGCGTGTGTGTGTGTGTGTGTGTGTGTGAGTCAGCCCAGGAAGTTGCTGAGTGATCTTGTTTGGTGATTGAGTGAGGTGAGTGAGTGATCAAAGAATCAAACAATGAGTGGGACGAAAGTGCATGAGTAAGTGAGGCGGTTTAGTTGAGAAGTCTGGAAAGAGAGAGAGAGAGAGAGAGAGAGATAGGGA